TAGTATGACTTTTTAAAAGCTATACTTTACCAAAACCTTCAATATGAAGTCATACAAAACCCTCAGCTTGGTTCCTCAGCCCTCACTCAGCTGTCAGTTCCTTCTACCATATTAATGGCTGGCACTGCCGGTTATTGTGAGGTTATTGGATGTGTAAATGTGAAAGGCATTTGTGTTGTAGAGATCCCAGTAGGCCAGGCATAGAGAATAGAAAGCCGCCATAAAGAACCTCTTATGTACTATGAGGCACTTATCTGGAAAGGCTAGAAACCACCCAGGTAGCTCCAAGTCCTCAGGAAAGCCTGCTGGTGGCCACCCAACGTTCTCTGCCCCATGGCATATGAGCAGGCAGAGGGGGTGTGCGCTACATCTGGAGCCACTTCTGCTTGCTGCCTGATAGCCACAGGGCTCTGGACCATGGATAATATGGACAGTCTTTATCTGGCTTGTTGCTTTATTACAGTGCTTCCCAGGCCGAGAATACGTTGCTAGAGCATTATTTCTCTACATTTGAACCTGCGTCTCCCTGCATCATAATCATCTGCATGCATGTTCAAAATGCAGCTTCCTATCTATTTGTCCATTTCTCCTGCATGTTAGCATGGAGAAGGCCTGGAGCATAAACTATTCTGTCACCTTATACACCAGATCATAAAATAATATCTGCACATTGTAAGTGCTTATAAATATCAGCTCAATAACTTAATTCTTCAACTCTATACCGACCTACTGAATCAAAATCCCTAAGACTGAAGCCAAGAAATTTACATTTTAAAACAGTATTTGAGGCATGCTAAGTATTAGGCATTGGTGTCCAAAAGTAATTCAGTGAATTCTGACGTCAAAAAATGCAAAGGTTGTTTCGGTGTTGTTCAGCAACCAGTGTTGTTCAGGCAACCACATTGTTGCGATTTTGTGGGTACATATTCCCTGTCCTGTCTGGAGGACACTGCCTATCAAAGGCATCATGAGTCTCCAGCTCTTGTGATTGCTCGGCCTCCTCTTCTGCGATTTCCCGGAGCCTTGGGTGTAAGGGTGGCATTACAAGTCTGTCACCTGGAGTTGGGCATCCCACAGTCGCTCTGCGCTTTGTCCAGTTGCAGATCTCAGCAGTAGTCCATATGCTGCAAAAGGAAACTTCCTTGACTAGGGGGATACATGTGCATCTGAGAAACACTGAATGGGTCCTCAGGCTGTATAACATGTGTGCCGGGTGGGAAGAAAAGATCTTGAATTGGGAGCAGAGGAAACAACATGGGAGGAGTTAGAGAAGGGAGGAAGTGTGGATGTGCCATAGATACAGTGCTCACAGATGAAGTTTTCAAAACAAAATAAAATTAATAAAAAACAATGATAAGTCTTGTGTCCACAGCCCCATACTGTCTGTCTGCTCAGATGTTAATATTCTTGAATTCCAACCTGGAAATGAAATAGAAAGTAAATTCTGCATTCACTCCTGTTTCCCAGGCAGATTTAGATGATCGATTCCTGAAAGCAGAATGTTTTCATCAAAGAATATAACCGTTCCTCAGTTTCCTTCAGGGATGTGGCCACCAGAAGCCTATCCACGCCCCAGGAGATGGTCCCACACACATTCACACACGACAAACACAAAGCAGGCTTAGTGGTTAGAAAAAATAGAAGAGCATATGCATGTGGGAGGGGAAAGTAGTGATGATGCAGATGGGGAAGAATTGGAGGAGAAATGATGGAAGGTGAAATTTGATCAAAACACAATAAATGTGTGCATAAAATTCTCAGACAATTAACAAAGAAGGATCTAACCTTTCCAAACAGTCTTACTAAGAACATGGGCCCTTTAAGTTTGTTCTGGAAGCTTTATGTTTATTTTTGGTTATAATTCATGACCTTTTGGCAGCCCCTTGAGTCTGGCAGTCATTTCACTTCTCAGCCTCCTCATTTGTTAAATGAGGTGAACTAGAGCCAGGCCTTGAGGCCATCCCCAGCTCTAATGTACTCCAACTTCTCAGTGACAGCTGACTGTTTCATATGTGACAAAATACCCTGATGTAATCTAATGAGCAAATGGAGATTATCAATACCCTTAGACTCTCCAAGCTAGTGGAAAGTAGAGAAATTTAAGAAATACAACCAGTTTCTAAGAGTTTCCTTTGAAGTTCCTACAAAATTACCTACAAAAATAATATGGCAAGTTTAACTTGCTTACAACTTTCTGAAAGAGAAATACACTGTTCTAAAATTTAAACAGTTTGTTGAAAGCAAGATGGAACATTTTGTGATCCAGGACACAGTTTCATCAATGGCGTGTCACAACCCAAATTATGGTCACTTAATTGTGGTGGCCATGAAGACTCTGGCAACAGTAAAAGGTTTATTACTGTGCAAATAGCAAAAGTTAATTCAAAATCAAGGTGTAGTGATCTCAAAATGATTCTGGCAGCCACTCACATTTGTATTCAGCGACTTTGCTGCAGACTTGGTTCTGAACAACAAAACAAGCAGGCTTAGTTCAGTTCATGCTTTCATGCTACACAGCACTGACACCATCACCCACAACAACCTGGCTAGGACTCAAGGCTATTGTACGCTATGAACTGCAGTACTTTTACTGTGCCTACAAAACCTTCTGCTACTAGAAACTCAGTGGTCCAACTAAAAAAAACCAGATTTTCAGCAGTTTTCTTTTGTCATAGTTCACCATATAAATATCAAATTAGGTTATCACTGGATTATATATTAGAAAGGTTAATTTTTTTAATTTTATATTTAAATATTAGCTACAGTTTATTAACTTTGTGTCTCAGCTGTAGCCCACTCCCCAACCCCACCTTTCCTCATCTCCTCCCTGCTCCTTTCCAAGTCCACTGATAGGGGAGGACCTGCTCCCCTTCCATCTGACCCTAGCTTATCAGGTTTCTTCAGGACTGGCTGCAATGTCCACCTCTGTGGCCTAGAAATGCTGCTCCTCCCTCGGGGAGGAGGGGTGTCAAAGTGCCAGCCATTGAGTTCATGTTAGAAATAGTCCCTGTTCCCCTTACTAGAGTACCTACTTGGATACTGAGCTACCATGGGCTACATCCGAGCAGGGGTTCTAGGTTATATCCATACATGGTCCTTAGTTGGAGATACAGTCTCATAAAAGAGCCCTGTGCCCAGATATATCAGGTCCTTGTGAAGCTCCTGTCCTCTCCAGGTCATACTAACTCCCCCTTCTTAGAAAGTTTAATTTTAAATTGTCATTGTAAACATATCTAGTCTGGAAAACCCTGAAGATGATCTACATCTGGAGCATACAGTATTCAGCCAAGACTTAATTCTTTGAGTTATATTAAACATGTACCTGCATCTCAATGGTAGGCATGTTTGTGTTCTTCTTTAAAAAATGGTAAAATTATATGCATGCCGAAAACTAATGTAATTTTCTGGGCAAGATAACTGATTCAGTCTACAGTACTTGCCTTTTAAACACAAAGTCATGAGTTCAATCCCCAGAACCCATGTTTTAAAAAGCTAGGCATGATTGTGAGACTGAGACAGGCAAATTGCCTGGCCTGTGCTAACCAGTCAGCCTAGGCTACTTGGTGAGCTCCAGACCAGTGAAAGACCCTACCTCAAGAGAAACTGGCTGGACCTGAGAACCTGCCTCCTCAGACAGGCATCCACACAAGCATGTGTACCTGTAAACATGAGCTCCTGTGTGCGCATAAGCATGTAAACAAATGCATACACACATGCAAATAAAACAACAATTTTTTTTTAGTAAATGCTTACCTATGCACCTGTTCTATATCTATGCATCCAGATTTGTACAAAAATTTCTCAGGCAAAGGGGCCATGAATACAATAAAATGTTTCAGAAGGCTGATCTAAGAAAGCTTGAATCTTATAGGATATTCCTGGGAATCCCCGAAAGATGGGGAAATATAGGGTGTAAGACGCTTGTGGGCGCTCATTTGCAGCCCCAGTTCCCTGTCGCATGGGAGTATTGAAGATGGGATGCTCTGGCCTTGTGGACTTGCTCTGCACAGCAATGTGCCTGTAATGGCTTTTGCTAAATTCCAACCTGACAACCCAGGTCCTAGCACCCCAATCCATTATTGTTGCCTGTGTAATTGCATATGACTCATTTTGCTCTGGGAAGACCACCTCAGCCAGCAGTTCTCAAAGTTTTGAGCTTTAATGTCTGCTGTATAGTCCAACTATTTTGCCATGCTTCTTTTTTTTTTAATCTGTAATAAAGCTGTTAGAAAAATATAACTGATATACTCTCTATAGAATTTTCAGATTATTCTAAAGACTAAAGAAATTTAGAGCATTAATCTGTATTAAAGTCATATATTTATGGAAAGACACCAGAAGTTAGGATGAAGCAGCCCACAATCACTACGTGTTTAGGACAGGTGTGGTGTCAGAGTTCAGGACACCTCTTCTCATGCCTTTCTGTCTAACTGATGATCATAGTGAGGAAAGAGGAGATCTATTGACATTCTCTCCTTGTGTGCTTTTCTACCTGAGTGTTTGAAATTTAAGTCCGTGGGCTTTATGCATTCAGACTTTGTGGGTATAGAGGTGGTTTGGGGACCCCATATTTTCATCCAAATGTCTCACAATGAATTCTCTCTTCTTAAAATCTGCACATCCATCCACCCAGTGGATGATTTGGAGTAATTTTTTTTCTGAATTTCTTTTTCATTACCAAATTGCCTTGTTCCCCTGTTTCAAATAAATCCAATGGATGAGTTTTAGCAGTCTGTGGGCAAAAAAGAGGGACAGTTTGGCCATTTTACCAGGAACATGGGGTGGTCAAGTGTCTCCCAAACATAAGAAGAAATAGTCACCTGTCATGTAAGGAGACAAGTGCATTTGTTTCTGCCCCTGAAGACATGCAAGAAGCTGTCTTAACTAAGCACTAATTAATGCTGTGAGTTGGAGTCTACTGTCTTGATGCTCCTTACACTATAAAGACAGCACAGCAAACTATTTCAAGCAAATTGACATATATTCCTTTTTTCTTACAGAGGGAAAATGATCCCATCCGATCTTGAAAGAAGAATCCTTGAAGTCAAACAAAAAGTAAGTTTTAATGGTGATCTTTGACCCTTAGTAATATGTATTTTAATTTATAACAAAAAAAAGTTACTTAGGTTTTATTTTTTAAAAAAGGATCCAAACCCCAATCTCCAAGCTTTAACAAAAAATATGAATTTTTCATGCAATCATCATGTTGGTCTCCGAGTTTACACACACACACACACACTCACTCACTCATGTGTATGTGTATATGGTGTGTGTGTGTGTGTGTGTGTGTGTGTGTGTGTGTATGCATTTTACACAAGTTTAAATTGCTGAGTAGACAAGCTAGTACAGAGATGAGTTTCCAAAGCCTCCCTACATGCTAAGCTGGCACTAGGCAAGCACATATGAACAACCCTTCTTGCAGCTAAGAACTAGCAGCATGTGAGTGACTGTCTCACGGAGATTTGAGAGGACCATATTAAATCATAATCTGATTCTGAAGGCACAAATTTGTAAGTCTTTTAGAAATAACAGTACCAGGCTGGGGCTATAACTCAGTTGGTAACGAGCTTCCTTAGCTTGCAGAAGGCCCTGGCTTTGATCCCAAGCATCCATAAATGAAATGTGACCAAGGCAGAAAAATCAGAAGCTCAATGTCACCCTTAGCTACATACAGTGTTTGAGGCCATTTTGGAAGATTTGAGATCATGTCTCAAAAATAAAAATAAAGTAACAGTAGCCATCAAGTGATATATCTTTGGATGGTTCATGACACAGAGGTTGCTTTTAAAATTCTCTATTTATTTATTTATTTATTTATTTATTTGTAAATAAAAGGCACAATGCCTGGTTTAGTAATGGATGTAGCTACTGTGTGCTTAGTAGAGTCTTTTATTTTCATACATATTTTTTTTGTTTTTGTTTTTGTTTTTGTTTTCTCCTTCAGCTTTCTTGTAGTACAAAGGTAGCTGGTAAAACAAACCATGAGATTAAAGCTTTGCTGCCACCTAAAGCCAAATCCTAAAACATCAGCGTCTATACCAACAGGACAGACGGGACAGCCTAGAGTGATAATGCTGGCCGTATCTGTGACTTTCTTCCACCCTCTTTTAACCATATCCTATTATTTAAGTCAATTTTCATGCTGCTATGGCTTGGAGAATGGTTAGGCCCTTCACTCTAAGGTGCCAAATAAGTCACCCGAGCTATTCCATTTAGAAGCAAGGGCTGGCAGAGTCCCTCTTTTTCTCTACCCTTCCCACTGCCCATGCTAAGGGAGGAGTTAAGCTAAGGAGCCTGGCTGTGAAGAAGAAAGACTAGAAAATGAGCAAAGAAAATGAGAAGGAACTGTCAGTCTACCTGGAGTGCTGCTAACTGCTGCTGTCACAGCGAGGCTATCAGATGCAGCCGAGTGGACACTTCAGGATCTTGGAGGAGTCGTTGATTTGACCAGTCTGGAGGGTTGACAACTCTTCTGATGAATGAAACAATGCATGTGGCAGGGAGAGTTTCCGCTATTTAGTGAGAGCGCAGCTCAGCTCACTAAAAGAAGCCTTCAGTCTGAGTGTAGGGTCCATGCCTGTAGTTCCAGCACTTGGGAGGCTGAGCCGAGAAGATTGTCACATACTGAAACCAGTCTACATCCTGAGTTCCAAGTGAGACTGGGCTACATAGCAAGATCTTGTCTCCAAAAGTGAACAAATAAGCCCATGGGCCCTATTTACACAATTGGAGCTTTCTTGTTTTTGCAGGGATTTGTTCCTTTCCTCGTGAGTGCCACAGCTGGAACGACGGTATATGGGGCCTTTGATCCCCTCTTGGCTGTTGCTGACATTTGCAAAAAGTATAAGATTTGGATGCATGTCGATGTAAGTACCCCTTAGCGGTGACCCACTCCATACCTTTGCACATTTTTAGATGAAACTCATGGAATACGATTTGCATTCTTCTCTCTCTCTCCCCCCTTACATTCAGAAGGGTGGAATCTCAGCTTTTAAAGATTTCAGAGGCACAGAACTTACATGATGTGTAACATTAGCTAGAAACAGCCTGAAACTGGTTATGCATTAAAGTTCCTTGCATGAAAATGTTATTGATATGATCAGTATTTGAGCTGAACACTCAGTTCTCAATTCATCGCTCCATACTGTCCCTGAATAAAACACACACACACACACACACACACAATCACACATATGCAGATCTCCATTATAGGTATAATCTGGATTAACATTTGTAACAAAAATTACAAAACCCAAGTTCAAGTTAGCTAATCATATATTCAGTGGTTTGGCAAGGGTTGGCAAGTTGCCAAAGCAGGTTTGGCAACTTTCTAGAAAATGTGGATTACCAAATTCCCAATAGTTTGGTGAACTAACTATATTTGAGATGTTTTAACATAAGGCACAATGGCACCAAACTATTTAAGGAGGTGCACCACCATTTTCTAATGAAAATATTTTAATAAAACTGAACTGAAGAGATTTAAATTGAGTGTGTTGCTTGGTGTGGCTTGAAGATTAGTTGCCATGTGCAATGTACTTACTAACCATCCACAGTGATAAACAAGGGGTCACTAACCATCACCAATTAAGCACAATGTTTAGTTGAGCTAATCTTGTAGTGTTTTCTCCATGTAGGGAACAATACGTTGTTACACATTCAGACACAAACTCCTTATGCCGCTCTAAGTTAAAACTGCAAGGGCCGCTGATGCAGGACATCCTGACGTTCAACATGGACCCTGTTTAATGGTTCCCCTGCCCATCTTATCTGCTCCAACCACAGCAACCATAGGCATTCCCATTCTGAGAGCATTGGGGCTTCCAAAGAAATGACTTAAAACCCACAGGAAGGGCTGATGGTGGTCTTTCTCCAGCTCGTGCTGACTGGGGAAATGTGTTTCTGATTTGGCTCCTTAATTATAAACATATAATATATAAATGTACAGTAGAGTCTGCGACTTCCACCTTGAAGTTTAAAGTCCTCACATTAGGAGAGAATGATCCACTCTCTTAATCAGTATGGAACTGCGCAGGCATTTTCATACTATGGCATCCCACTAATATGGGAGACAGTAACTAGAAGTCCAGACCATGGGCAGGTACTGCATTCTTCCTTGTCTGTTTTGCTTTTTCAGGCAGCGTGGGGTGGAGGGCTACTGATGTCCCGGAAACACAAGTGGAAGCTGAGCGGTGTGGAGAGGTATGCATTTCTTAGTCCATGTTGTAGAGTGTTAAAAACCACAGAGCAGAAAATGGCACTTGGCTTCCTAGGAAGTCTCAGGATGCTGGCCAGCCCACTCTCCCTTGTGAGCCTTGCCTATGTGTAGACACAAAAACAAACAAACAAACAAAAAAATCAAGTCCCATATGAAGTGACCCACAGAAAATGTCTTTTAAAAATGGGGGTTTATCGTTAGACTTCATTCCTGGCATCTTTGAATCAACCACCATGATTTTAAAACCTGCAGGCTGTCCACATTTCTCCAGAGAAAAGATCTATAGCTTCCATGTTACCATAGAATACCACTCAGAATAAAGAAACCAATAAATAGTTTTCTCAAAGCAGGTAAACATACTGTCATTTGTAGTGCTGAAAGTTACGTTTGGGATTAGATATAGCCAGCTGAGTCGAAGTAAGACATGCCGGTGTTTTCATCCTCCTGGCTTCGTTCCACAGTAACCCTTTTCTGACCTCGCTCCCTGATTGATGCAGTAAGTAGCTTTTATTTGGGGCTGGTGCAGCAGCCCATTGAGACAGGCTGCAAAGCACAAAGGAAGTAATTTTTGATTTGCATAAAACATATTGAGGTCGGGGGGGGGGGAATGCAGAAGGCAAAGTATGGCCTCAGGCTGTGGTTCTGCACACATGCAAAGGAGACCAGTTTTCCCATCACAGCGAGTCAACCAGGTCAGCTACAGTTGTGAGTTCTGACACTCCAGACCACAGAGAAAGCCTTACTTCATCAGAGGCTGCCAACTGCCTACCATGCCCTGCCAAGCAGCCAGCTGCCACCCAGAAAAAGATTCACTCTGGCTCTGCCCCTAGTCATCTTGGCACAAGTTCTATGTCAGGACCAGGGAAGAGGCTTCGGGAGCTTGGGAGCATCTGTCAGCATGCAGAGAGACCAGACCAGAGAGGAACTATGTGATACCAGGTCTGCTCATACACACAGAACCCATGAGGGAGGGAGTAAGGGAGGAGGAGGTTGGGAATAGAGCCAAGAGGGTCCTGTTGAATTAGCAGAAATGAGGCTGGGGAAGAGTCAGGACAGAGTGGCCAAGCCCCATGTCATGGGGTGACTGTCCCTGAGTCTGCTGCCAGAAGGCCTGGCTGAGGCACAGCTGAGTGGAGTCAGCAGTATCCTTGTTCTGCTCCAAGGCCTGTGGGTAAGGGGCGATGAGGGCGAGAACCCTAGTACCACAAATACATGCCCAGAATTGAACTCTGTGCTTTCAGAGGTGGCCACTGCACAACACCTTCTATTCTGTGACTTTCTGATTGATACAAAGAATAAGCATCTTTTATAGCACTTTCAACGCCTCCTCATGCTCCAAGCGCTGAGAGCCATGGAGCACCCCACTACTGCCACCACTTGAAAGTTCACTAAATTACCTACCTGAAACCTCAGAAAAATAAACACCACATGCTTTTGTACTGAAGTCTATTTGAGAGAAAAGCTCAGAGTGTTCATCTCAGAACACAGAGTCCTCTATGTTCTGGTTGCCACAATTCTCGAAACCAGGTTATAACTAAACTTACCAAATGTAATAACCATGGATAGAAAAATCAGAAATAAGGGCCCTGCCATCTCCTGCTCTGAGCACATGCAGCAGAGGGTAACCATCCTACAATTTCTTAGCATGATGTATACTCTTTAGTGAATAAGATCACGGAACTGTTGGAAATTGCTGGAACACAGTGTATGTGGGCTTAATTTTAGGAAGGAAATGTACCTCAGTTGGAGAAATAGCTTCTCTCTAAGTATCACAGACTAAAGTTTAGGACTCACTATCAAGGGAGAGGAAATCCACGGTTCATTCTTGCCCCTCTGTGGTTTCAGAGCATTCATGAGTGACATTCTCACAGCATAATGGCAAAGCTCTATCCAGCATCCTCTTTGGGAAACAAACCAAATCCTTCAGGTGCTCTCTTTCTTGCTCGAGCCAGTGTAGCCAAGACAGCCTGCTAGGAGCCTACATACTCCAGAGCATGTCTGACACTGTAAACCAGCTCTCAGTCCCCTCCCCTGGGGATCTAAGGACTCTGAAGGTTGCGGTAAAACAACAGCTGCATCATAAGTAGCCTTCAGTCCTACTTGAGAGCCAAGGCAAATATGGAGCAAGAAATGGTCCTTCTCAGATCCTATTCCAGAGAGCATGCGCCAACCACCAGCACTGGCACTTGGCATCATCCAGTGAGGGGCAGAAATGAAAGAAGGGTGTTGCCGCTAGGGAGCAGAGCTGTTGGTGATGTCCCTGGAGAAAACCCAGTTCAGTTGGGTTGGAGGGTAGGGTATGTCTGTGGCCCCCTGTGTAGAGGTAGGGCAGGAAAATGGTAGAAGTGCAGAAATCCTGTCCAGGGAATTGACAGAATGTCTGCCACAAGTATGTATTCAGGGGTGCTATCCATTTGCCATGGACTCCTGAGCTGGATTTTTCATTGACTTAAATAAGATTACCGGTACAATAAGTGTCCTCTGTCTGGACAGTGGACATCTGTCATTCATCATTTCCTCCCAAGGCTCTTACACCCCAGAGGAGAGTTAGGGGAACAGCAAGCCTGGGCACTGTGGACCCAGCTGCTATGGGTTCCCCTGATGTCCTTCCTCCTGTAAGTGTCTTTATATAAAGGTCATACCGTGATCCTCATCCCAAAGACCTTCAGCATCTTGGCAAGCATTGAGTTTGCTTGACGAATATGTAATTCTTGGCGACAACAGTTGCTTTCTGTGGGCATTGGGACAGAAATGGTTGGAGTAGTGCAGTGGGAGCGAAGGCAAGAATTTAAAGGAACTTGAGTAGCTGCAGAAATACTTTAAGATTCTGAATGTAAGGACAGATAAAATTAAACAAGGTGAAGCCAAGAAGAGGAAATAGCACAGCAGGCCCAAGAGCAGAGTAGACTATTCAAAGAACAAGAGTGGAAACTGCTAAAGGAGGGGAAGGGATACAGGCTGAAAACAGGGTCATCCTGGGGCACCATCCAGTGGTGTGCTGCAGCTTGGAATTTGAGCTATGGAGAAAAGTGGATGCTGACAATTTAAGAAGAAGAGAAACCATTAAAACTAAAACAATCCTAGTGCCAGGGTGAGGATCAGCTAAAACTATCCAGATTGAGCTAATAGTAATTATTGTTAAAGAAATATGAACTACGGTCATAATGTGGTATAAATCCCTGAGCTGTGCCTCTTGGTGCCACAGTTACTGAAGGAACATGGAGTTTTATATGAATGGGGATGAAATGTATTGGAAACTCTGCTGTAAGGTAGGTATGGGCAGCCATACCCTTAACCCCTGTACTCAGGAGGCTGAGACACGATGGTAACAACTTTAAATTATTGTAAGCCTTGTAGTAAGAGTCTGCTTTAAAAAGAGAAAAGAAAGGAAAAGAGGAAAGAAAGGAAGAAGAGTATAGCAGAACTTCTGTTACATGGCCCACATTTCTCACAACAGATAGCATCGGGTTAGAGGAGAGATGGCCTCAGGGGAATAGCTAGGGGGTCCTCTAGAAGGACACATGTGAATGGGACAAGTGCCATCAAAGAAAGGACAGATGACCAATGCAGTAATGTTCCCTCCTCTGGGCTGTTGTGACAGTCAGAAGCAGTGGTAATAGAAGCACAAGGATGACCCTTTCATCTGGCCAGTCCTCTGGTTAACAGTGGCTAAAGACCAAACCCTGAGTTGTGATTCAAGGCACCATAAGGGCCCCAAGACTACTGTACAGACAAGTATATGCATTCATTGGAGGTGCAGAGAAGGGAAAGGGCATAGAAGCATGTCCACCATCTCATCTCTGTGAACAGTGGAAGGCTACATTTCTGTAGATGGGGTGTCTTCCTGAAGCAGGAGAAAAGGACGGTGAACTGGAGCTCTGAGGCCCAGGCAGAACCTCAGCAGTTGGAGCCTGATGCGGGTGCCACCTCATTGTGATTGTTTTCCAGAGCCAACTCTGTGACATGGAATCCACACAAGATGATGGGTGTCCCTTTGCAATGCTCGGCTCTCCTGGTTAGAGAAGAGGTATGTTTTCTTTCTGACTCTGGGGCCAGTCCAGGGACAGGGTCTAACTGTTCTCATGCAGCTCATGTTCTCTCCCGGGTCCAGATGCTCACATTTCCCTAGAGAGCTCGTCTGACTTCTCATCAGCTGGCATACGCCCCTCCCACCCCACAGAGGCTTTTTATGTTCCTCTCTCAGAAATTAAATGCAGTTTGCTTTTAGAAATATATAAAGGAAGAATAGCTTATACCATAGAAAATGTAGACATAATAAAGAATTAAAGTTAGTGTTATGATTTAGATACATATGCATGATATATTTGCATGTATATATTATATATCTCATAGTTAAATTTAAAATCGAATGGCATATTCAGAATGCAAATTTAATCTATCTGCATATGCATACGCCACAAAGAGAATGAGCACTGACTACTTTCTTTCAAGGTACTTAGATATGTGAAGTCTGGTTCTCACTGCTGGCCAATACTTTCACATTGACTTTCATGGTGCCCGGACACAGGCATATGTTCTCATGTCTACATTCATCTTGTTAGTAAGAACTAAGCAAAGTATCAACTGTGGGGTTTATACTTGTCGTCCTAGCACTAAGGAGGCTGAAGAAGGACTGCTGTTGTTCAAACCCAGCTTAGGCTACAGAGCCAAAGCCTGCCTAGAAAGAAAAAACAAAACCAAGCAAATGAAAACAAGAACTAAACTAATGAGCTTCCCTCCATTCTAATTAAATTTTATCATGTTAAAATCATGATGATTTAGTATCATGATCTTTAAATATTTAACTTTACTTGCTTTAAAAATATCTCCATTATCTTAGAAAATACAGATAAATTTAGACTCACCAAAAATTCTGTTATTTGAAGGTAAAACTCATCACTGTCCTTAAATATATTCTCTGAAAATTTTCTGGGAATGTGTTTGTTATATATAAATACGTTTTTATGCATTCAAAATTAAATTGCTACTATATGACATATACATACATTCTATATTTAACATTCTCGGAAAAACATGATTATTTCAAAACTTCATTTTAATGAACTTTTAATATTCTATCACATAATGCCTAGTTGCTTGCCAAAATTCATAAACATGATCTTTATCACTTTTCTAATTATTAATTCTTTTAAGAGGGATTTTTGTGTCAAGGGGCATTATTACCTCTTTCATCTTTTTCTTCTTTTTCTTCTTCTTCATCTTCTTCTTTGCAGAAAAGAAATCATCATACCCAATTTCTTTTTTCTTTTTTTATTAATTAATTCAATTTACATCTCAATCATAGGCCCCTCCCTCCTCTCCTCTCAGTCTCACCCTCCTCTCTTCATCCCTCATCCCCTATTTCCCAGAATAGGGAAGCCCCCCCCCCTACCCAGACACCCCAGCTCATCTATTCACATGAGGACTGAGTTCATTTTCCTCTCCTTTGGTCTGGTAGGGCAGTCCCATCAGGAGGAAGTGATCAAAAAGCAGGCAACATAGTCCATGTTAGAGATATGCCCTACTCCCCTAATTACTGGGCTCACACGAAGCCTAAAATGCCCATCAGCTATTTATAAGTACAAGACCAAGGTCCTTGATTGGTGCTTCAGACGCCGTAGGCCCCTCTAGCCCTGGTTGATTGGCTCTGATGGCCTTCTTGTGGAGATTTTGTCACCTCTGGGCCAAATTATCCTTCCCCCTTCTTTTCCAGTAGACTCTCAATGGTTCACTCAGTGTTTGGCCATGAGTCTCAGTATCTGTTTCTAGAGTTCTTCACAGCTATAAATTTAAGTATCATGCTTCTGCATCTTCATTAAATAAATTAAAATCCAGAAACTGAAGACCAATTTCCCTACAAAATGTGAGGAACGCATTGTAAAAGTATCCCTTGAGACTGTGTTTTCAAAGGAACACTCAGTTACTTTGTCACCACCTACCCTAGCCCATGTACACGTCAGCTGTACTACTAGAAAGGAAAGAATACATCTTTGTTATTTACGTCTCAGCCAAATGTTTGATACTGGTTTGCATTCTGTCACAGCAAGCCAAAAAGAGAAATGCAAGTCAGATGAAAACAGCCCAGTCTGGATCTGATTAGATACCTGCATTGGAAAGAAATATCTGACAGTCTGATGCTACCCAGGATAGAGCCTTGTGGCTTGGCACCTAACCCATTCTCATTCAAAGTACTCATTGATCATTTGAGACACAGACTTGTCTATCTGCTTCAGGTGAGAGGAAGGCAGAAGACAGACTGAACCAGCGGTAGACTGTGTTTTACAGACTAGGCCAGCTAGTCTCATCTGAAAAGGGACTGGTGGGAAGCAACACAAGGGAGGAGGGGTTTGCTTTGGCTTACAGTGTGAGATGACACAGTCAATCATGACGGTGAGGGTCCATTGGCAGACCACAGTATGACACTTCCAATCTCTGCAGAATGCAAACAGAAGCTGGGCTAGGCTAGAAACCCCAAGACCTAGCCCTACTGAGCCATTTCTTCCTAGAGTTCACACAGTCTCCCAAAACAGCACTACCATCTGGAGAACCAAGATTTCAAACTAGTGCCTATGAGGGGATGTTTCACATTCAAACCTTAATATTCTCTTCCTTGCCTTCATACACTCATGACTATCTCATAATGTAAAATGCAGACCATTCAAAAATCACTGTAATTCAACAGTTTCAACATTGTCCCAAAGTCTCTTCAGAGACTCAAAGCTATCTGTCAACTGTGAGCCACTGAAGACCTACAATGGCACAGAGCAAATATTCCTTTTCCAAAGAGAACGAATGTAGGAGTAGCAAGGAAAGGCCACACCAAAGGGAGGCTGAAGGCGGACAGGCTATACACTTGAGCTTGAGGAGACAGGCTCATTTCACTTACTGCTAAGACATGGAACTTCAGTGTCTACTATGCAGGGTCAATAAAAGCAAACCAAAATGCTATTTTAAAAGCACAAGCCCGATAAATAGATGTATAAATCCAGGACAAGAAAGTTGGTATCACCACTCACCACTGGTGAGATGCCACCTGCAGTGTTTTCATTTCTCTTGATGTCAAATTACACATGGCAGCCCATGAAGTGAAACTTCCAACAGTAAGGAACATTTCATAAACATTAATGATTAGTGACTGATGTGGGAGGGCCCAGCCCACTGTAGGAGTTTCTCTCCATAGCTCTCTGTTTACTTTTTTATACAACCTAGGACCCCCTGCTCAGGGTAACGCCCCCCACAGTGGGCTGGACCCTCCCACATAGGCCATTTATAAAAAAAAATGCCTCACAGACTTGCCTACAGGCCAACCTGATCAAAGCATTTTCTCAGTTGAGGTTCCTTCTCAGTATATGACATTAGTTGTGTCAAGTTGACTAAGTAGCACACACATTGATATATATGATTAAAAATAAAAATAAATCAAAGAAAAGAAAGAAATATGTTAGTTTAACACTGAGCTCTTTCTCTCTCTCTCTCTCTCTCTCTCTCTCTCTCAATTTCAAGAGCATATGATGCTCTGACAACACACACCCTTGAAATTAAGTGAATAATGGCATCACATAATTTAATTTTAAAAAGGCTGAGCTGTATTGGTGAGAGTTTAAAACAAATCCTAGCATTCCAAGGGGTTGTTGAAGTTTGTAATATTCTGTTATACATTATAATATCTAAACAAAAGATACTTAAATATATAGGGACCTAAGTCTATTTAAATATGAGACTTTCATTTTGTGCAGCACCCATGTGTTGAAAACTCATTTGGAACAGTGTTCTATTACTGTTTCCTTGTTCAGAACCATCATCTCACTAAAGCTTTGTGTGTACAAACCTAGACCACTGTTTACCTCTGTGGACATGGTGGCCTGCTCTGTACAGTGTTGGTCATGAAGACTGAGGACTGCAAGCTAATCTTCCATTTCAGTAGGATCTGGTCTGACACCACCACCGCCATCATCCCATACTCACTGAGGTTCTTTCCTTAATGCTGATCACATCTATTTGTGAGCTTTTAATGCCAGGAGAAAACTGACACAAATTTTTTGTGTCCACCAAACAAAATAGATGTGCCTGGTAAAATGCTACATCTTATTAGTCTGTAAGTCAATGCCTCCCTCCTGCTCTAATATAAACATGTTACATTTGTTTCTTATTTTCAAAGTAACTATGGAGCACACATAATATGAAGCTGAAGCTAAGGGTGGAGACAATTGTCTACCAAGAACTCTGTTTACATGGCTCTAAGTTTTAATTTGGATAACTTTTTTAAAAAGGTTTTCACTTCTACTTCAGCTCAGTGATCACATTTTGGTCTTTTCTTCTCTTGTCACGAGTCACAAGAGAAAGAAAACCAAATGCCAAAGCTTTTATGAAATCCCAATCACACAGTAGCTGACAGTCAACTCAGAAGCTCCCAGTGGGTGTGATAAATTGAATCGTGATGGGGTTTCCAGTAAGAGACCAGCAATGCTATTGTAGTCAGAAGCATGAGTCATTCACCATTCTTTGGAACAATCACTTTGCTGCCTATTTCTATATTAGGATTATGGTTGGGCAAATTCGTGGTCACTGACAGGAAACTCTCTCTTTTTCAACTATCATAAGCAACTCGATGTGAAAATCCAATCTGTAAGCCCGACCCTTGGGAGAGGAACAGGAGATGGGAAAGGTTGCTCATTTATGTTCAAATCAGGATTGCAATCTGGATGTGTTTATGTTCCACTATATAAAAACAAGAGCAACGACTTGAATAGTTCAAGCTCTTACAGTTACAGAGCTGTGAACATGCTAGAAGAGCCACAGTAATCATATTTGAAGAATCAGAAGGTCAGGGCTGGAGAGATGGCTCACAGGTTAAGAGCACTTGCTAATCTTTCAGAGGAGCCAGGTTTGATTCCCAGCATACACATGGCAGCTGACAATAATTTGTGCCTCCAGTTCCAAGGAACCCAACACCATTTTCTGGCCTCTTTGGGCACTAATACATGTGGTGTGAAGGCAGAAAGTAGGCAAAGTGCCCACACACATAAAATAAATCTTAAAAACCAAAGAACCTAAGTTTCCTAAGCCTCTCCCTCCCCTTCTTTTTTATCATCGTCCTTCCTCTTCCTCTTTAAAGGATGATTTTGCTATGTAAGCTTGGCTGGCCTAGAACTCTCTGTGTAGACTTGCTGAAATCCTCCTACTCCTGCCTCCCAAGTGTTGGGTCTCTGAAATGTCTTAATTACCACAAAACTAGACTAAGAAAATACCTCAGAAAATGAGCATCATGTTGTGGATTTGACTTATCTATGTATTTTTACAAATGTATTTCTTGAGATGAAGACAAAAGCGTAAGTGTGTCCCTGTCAACTCCTGTAGCATACTACCTGAGCCTTCATCCCACAGAATCAGCCTATGGTGCTTCCTGGACAGTCTTGTCCAGTAGTTTTCTTCTTCTGACAGATACAATAACGTTTTGGTCTCTGAGTTTTCTTTTTTTAAACAATTACCACCACAATGTGATGTTAAAGGAGAGTGAAGATAGTACCGTGACCTTTCTCTTGGCTTTTGTAGGGATTGATGCAGAGCTGCAACCAGATGCATGCTTCCTACCTCTTCCAGCAAGATAAGCACTATGACCTGTCCTATGACACTGGAGACAAGGCCTTGCAGTGTGGCCGCCACGTTGATGTCTTTAAGCTATGGCTCATGTGGAGGGCAAAGGTGAGCACAGGCCTTTACTTGCTGAATGGCAAGTAAAGAAAAGAAAGCTGTCTGACAAAGTTTGTTACAAAGTGATACCTGAATGAAAAGTTACTCAGGAAATTTTCCTTTACTCGGAGTCTGCATGCCTACATTCTCCATGGGCAAGAGCATAATCATATCCATTGTTGTTTTCTTTCAAGTTCAGTTGTTTCTAAAGCTCGCTCAACTCAAAAACCCATTTGATGCATCTGGCAGAACAATCTGATTTTTCAATTGACACCTCTTACTATTGCCATCCTCATTGTCGTTTGCTTTATTTTATTGCCCTTCTCCATCTTGGTTGATGATCCATCTTGATGACTGATCACCTGGGTATATTAGTGTTTTTCTAGAAAGAGATTAGACTAAAAATGCCCACCGTGACTGCTCATATTGAATTCTAACGAGAAAACACTTTTTTAAACTCCAGAAGTTCTCATTCCTTTGTATGGGGTTCCATGTCCCTCAGCTTTCACATGTGCAGATGATCCTTCCTCTACCAGCAACGTCATGTCTGCAGCTGTGCACAGGCCAGGCCTCTTGGCAGCCTCCCAGAGGCAGACAGTTATCCTAAATGTAAGGAGGGTGCAAAGGTCAGAGATTATACTTTTATTAGTTTACTCTTTGGCAATTTCATGGATAGGTGTAATGCATTCTAGTCATGCTTGTTTCTCTACCGCTGCTTATCCTTTTCATCCCCCAAATCCCAAGTCCAAACCCCACTTTTAGAGTTTTTTGGGGAAATTGGTTTTGTTTTGTGAGGTACTTAGTTTAATTTTGACTAGATTCTAAGTTTACAAATCAGAAAATGACCAGAGCTACCCACACACACAACAGAACCTAACTGAAAAATGCTATTTCAGAGAAAACAAGCAAGGGGGTACATGAAAGGGAAGCAGGCATGCCCTTCCTGTGTGTTTCATCAGGAAGCCACCCATCTGACTCTGTGTTTTCATTGTTTACATACAGGCAGCAGGCTCAGTCCTGTAGGCAGAAGTAAGCAACTCATCAGCAGACATGCTGCCCTCCAGGAAGAAGGCAGGCAAGGGTCTTTGTAAAGAAGTAGGAATTGTGCCCACAGTGACAAATGCCAGACTGTTCTGGGAAGTTTTTCCAAGGAGAGGGAAAGACCTTATATTGTTCAGATGCACATGGGATGGCCAAGAAGGAAAGAGGGAAGATTTCATGGATAGAGAACAGTGCAGTCCACAAGTGTTTTGTAGAATCTCCTTTAAGCCTATTCTAAACAAAAGACATAGTTTAAACAGAAAGACAAGCTTAAGCAGAAATAATTCTGAAGTGGTCCCAAGAATGTCCTTCAGGCAGTCTCCTTTATAAGATTTACCCCTGATGAGCTTTCCCAAACGGCTTCAAAGTGTCACCATTGCTTCTGGGAGGCCTAGTAAGAGTGCTGTACTGTGCTGCCATCCTCTTGACCTTGACAGCAACCCCCACTTCACCACCACTCCCATCCCTTACTCCCTGCAAAGCATACACTGGTAATTCCAGCACTTGAGAGCAGAAAGATCATTTTAAGTTCATGACCAGCCTGGCCTGTATAACAAGTCAGAGACAAGCCAAAGGTATGAAAAAAGAGCCTGTCTCACAAAGCCAAATACAAAGCAAAGCAAAAGTTGAGAATCTGCCAAAGACATGTAAGCAGTCCCCACTCCTCAGCAAAAGACTTGGTTATTTGCTCACAACACTTTGATCTGTAGGAGGAGACAGAAGCTCATATACTGTTGATGTGTTCCTAACGAGCCCTTGAAATTAGTAGCTTTTACTTCACTGAGGAATGGGAATTGCAAAATAATAGTTGTCAATGTCAGATAGTAGGTTAAGAAAGATTGATCTCTGGGTGTGGTGGGAGCTCTCTCTCTTCCTCCAAGCACCATCCTTTCCATCTCTTTCTCCTGTAGTGTTTGCCTTAACTGCTGATCATTGGCTGTCTTCACCCAACCTCACAGTACACCAATTCCCTTAGCCTGTGCTCCTGAGTGGAGCATCCCTTCATTCTTAGAGAAATAGCTTAAAGGATATCAGGAGTGGATCAAACAGCAGGGGCAGGTCAACCCCTGAGATGAGGGAGCCAGCTTCTCTCAGTTCTGAAATCAAAGACCTTGGAGCTGAGAAGGGCCAGACCAGGTTGCACTGCTTAAGAGCTTCTTTCAATTAGTTACAGGAGCTTCAAACGTCGGAGATCCAAATGGAACAATTGTCCCTTTGGCTTCCAACTTAAAGCTTCATTTTTTTTTTAGATCAAATGATAATAGTTATCAAAGTAGTAAGCACAATCCCTCACCCTAGACCAGAAGTGAGACTAATTACCCCATCCAAAGCTCTCTTGCCATCCCTGTCACAGAACTCAAACCTGCCCTCAAGAACAACCATAGACCATTCTGCTATGCTGATTACACAGTTTTGAGACAGGATCCTGTTCTGAAGGCAGGCTGATCTTAAACTCACAGCAACCCTCCTGCCTTACCTTACTGAGTGTTTGATAACCTTTCTTTCATCCCTACAAGAATTAGGAGCTGATCTAAAAAAGAATAATGAGGAAGAGTAGACAGAAAAAGAACATCACTTTATTGGACACATTTTCTGAATCCATTTCATTACTTCAGTACAGCTCGTTCTGAAGCATGCTTTACATGGGTTGTGTTGGGCCTTCCTTTCGGGGGACAATAAGGCCTTTTTATAAGGGTCTTAACACCTCTCTTATTTAATTCCATTACGGTTACAGTTGCTTTTTGTTTCTATGCTGTGTTGGGTGTCGTGCCAGTTCCAAGTGCAATAACTGAAATCTGAGATTTTCCATTTGCACTTAGCAAATAGAGAAACTAATGGAGGAAAGGCATTTTGGAAACCAGTTCCCTAGTGTGCCCAGACATTGGTTAAATCACTCCAGTCCAGGACTGTTGTACTGTTTTTCCTAAGTCCAGAGCCTAGGTATCCTGAGTGGAGAAGTAAAGGACTTCACTGGCTGACTTGAGTCATCACCACAGGAACAGCACAAGCAAGGCAGAGTGGCAGGCTTCCTAAGACTCATTTGTTTGATCAGCTGACATTCGGCTAGAGCCTGTCTTACGGAGGTGTACAGGGACTTTGGGGGGTGAATAATTTACAACATGAGTGGGAGCCAAGCAGGCATGTGGGGGGTCCCTGACAAGGCTTCTTATCTACAGGAAAAGACTAGCCCAGCCCTCTGTTATTAATGACTTCCATGATTACATCTATGAGCTGCAGAGGCAAATTTTCCCCTTGAGTAATCAAGCTAATTGCCCCAGGGAATTAGGCCCTGGGACAAAGGAACCAGCTGTAGGGCCTAGGAATGAAAAGGAACACAGCCCTTGTGAGGAGAATTCATGGGGAGAAATCACCAGAACCGCCTCCAGGAGCAGTGCTGTCCAGAAGGGTTAGAATGAGGGAGCTGGAAATGGCAGAATGACCACTCAGGTCATTCCCCGTTCCTATCTGAGAGCTACACACAGGCTTAGTCTGCCTAATGCTTTTTCTTCTTCTCTTTTGTAGGGGACCACTGGGTTTGAAGCACATATTGATAAGTGCTTGGAGCTGGCAGAGTATTTATACAATACCATAAAAAACCGAGAAGGATACGAAATGGTGTTTGATGGGAAGGTATGTACTCACATTTCAGCAATTGCCACAACCATCTTTAAATGCCAATTCTCACCCCCACAGCATTTTCTGATGTCGGTAATGGATAACTGGGACCATTATGAAGGGAAACAATAGATGGCAGGATGGCTCCTCTGTGCTGGAATAAAGAGCACACTCACAAATAATTAGAATATGAATGGAGGTACTCCAAGGGCACTTACTCATTTAAATACAGGAATTGTTCTCTGAACCTGAAGAATAAATACATTTGAACTATCCTTGGAATTTTGGACTGGGTCTAACTTCTACTTTCTTCTTTGTAGCCTCAGCACACAAATGTCTGCTTCTGGTTTGTACCTCCTAGTTTGCGTGTTCTGGAAGACAATGAAGAGAGAATGCACCGCCTCTCAAAGGTAGGTGCTGAGAGTTCCTATGCATCTTCTATATGGCGTGAAACGTCTTTATGGGGAATCCCAGCTGGTGCCTGGACCCATCCCCTCTGTGGGCTACCACAGAGCCAGGATGTGCAAAGTCCACATTTTCTCACTTCACGATTCCATTTGCTTGTTTCGAGAGAGAGTTTATAATGTTTTAATTGATTGATAATCTTTACTGACATCCAGAAAGCATCAAGAATTGTCCTTGAAGGTTACTGATTTTTTTAAGTGAAATAGATATGAGTTGCAAGTACAAAAGAAACTTCAAGTATCAGAAATGGTCATCCAAAAAAAGAAAAAGAAGGAAAGGAAAGGAAAAAGAAGGGAAGGGAAGGGAAGGGAAGAGAAGGGAAGGGAAAAGAGGAAAAGAAAGCTACTGCATATCCTCTCTTGAGAGAACAAGGTCAAGGCTACCCAGTGGAAGGAGCAATAATACCAGCAGCTACCATTAACAGTGTGTGTCATGCCCCAGGCTCCATGTTTATCAGGTTTTAGATCATTTAAAATCTCATAGCAGCCCATGTGAGTTGATGTGGCCAGCCACTGCTGCTGTTCCATTTTATGGAATGACAGTAGGGAAATGTAATTCCCCCAAACTGCACTGTAAGTCTGACTCTAGAGCCTAAAGAGCTATAAAGTCTAGTCTAGGCAGGGAAGTACTTTTTAAAAATCTTTAATCCCTACCTGTTTCCGGCATTTACACATGGGTAAGGTATGCTCTATGGTGCACACCAGAGGGAGAGGAATTCAGAGCCTGCTTCTCATGGTGCTGTAGGAAAGGGGATCTAGGGGCATCGTATAGACCTGAACTTCAGAGGTTAGTTGCTCCAGGAGGCTGGAGGGACAGCCGGGTTAGGGAGACACATATTTCCCACTGTCAGGAATCTCACCTTAGTTTACTGACCATCTGGAACAATGTATTCCCTTCTATGTAAAGGAAAGAATAGAATTCCTGTAGATAGTTGTGCTCAACCTTCAAATATTTCAACCCTTTAATATAGTTCCTCATGGTGTGGTGACCCCCAACCATAAAATTATTCCATTGCTACTTTATAACTGTAATTTGGCTGCTGTTGTAAATAGTAATGTAAATATCCGATATGCAGACTATCTGATGCATGAGCCCAAAGGTGCCGTGACCTGCAGGTTGAGAGTTGCTGCTATAGAGAAAAGCCTTCAAGAAAGTTTTTAAATATTACTATCTGCTCTTTAGCAAACTGGGGACACATTCCTCAGCAAGATGAGGACTGGGTCGAGGCTTTTCTTAATTTGTCAGTGTGTGCTGTATACATATGTTCGTGTGCGTACATGTGCTTGTATGCACTTGCATGTTGGAGAGACAGCAAAGTTAAATTCTGGACAAGACAAGGCGAGGACTAGGCTCGTACAGGGCTGCAGTATCCAAAAGTTAATGGTTGAGGTAAAGTAAAGAGACTTTAGGGCTTGCAGTATAATGAACTACTACAGATCAGGTGGCTTACGAACAATGGGAATTGATTTTTCTCACAGTGGGGCTGGAAAATCGGAGACCCAGACGCCAGTAGATTCCATATCTGCTAAGGGCCCACTTCCTAGCCCATCGACAGCCGTTAGGCAGTGCACCCTCCTGTGGCAGAAGGAAAGAAAGGAGCTCTCTGGGGTCTCACGATAAGCCACTAATTAATAAGACAGAGCCTCCCAGAGACACAACGAACTGGGGATTCGGGTCATACCATAGAGGAAACACAATATTCAGCCTATAGCAAGTACTTCTCACATGCTTTCTTGCATACGGGAAGGGAACATTTTACCAAACCTAATGAGCTTATCCCAAGAGCTCACTGGGAGGGGACAAATAGCTAGATGACAAGTGTCATTACTAATAGAAGCATTCACTCCTTTCTGAGGATGGGAATCTGGCGGGCACATATAGGCTTTCTAGACAGGCTCTCTGCACCACTTCTCCTCTCTCTGGTTCCTCTCTTTCATCTTCATAATCATCTTTTTGTTGTTGCTGCTGCTTTATGGGTGGGACTCAGGACCTCATGCATGCCTAGAAACTGTTCAGTTTCTGAAATACACTCTAGCCCCTTTCTAATCATTCTCGTGTTGTGTTGTTGTTTTGTTGCTGTTGTTTGGAGACAGGCTCATTATGTAACCCTGGCTGGCCTAGAACTCACAGAGATATACCTAACTCTGTCTCCCAAATGCTGGGAAAAGGTGTCCTCCACCACACCCAGCAATTCATTGATCATTAACTGCATCTCTTTTACAGCTTTTATGGTCCACTAATTGATGATTTTCAAAGGGTCAACAAATGGATTAAATAGCAACTTGGTAAAGAAGCAATTTGGCCTCACATGTAAGGTGACTTTGAAAAGTTTGCTGTTGAGTAATGAAGAACTCATTTGGCAAGATTTTAACATTATAGAATGTCTTCTTAATGACTATTCTACTTCCCCATTTTATGCATTTCTAAGATTTAAACACAAAAGCTTTAGAACATATAGCAAAATACATTTTCAAGATAACTGTATGTTATTTCATAAATACCAGGCCCCTCAGGAGGAAACAAATACATATATTAATTATGAAGAGGTGTGCTCGTGATATAAGGGATGGTCCCCATTTTCAACTGAATCTCTGACTGCTTATATCTCACATAAGTTGGAAGACTCTGGCTTTTCATTTTGGGCTGTGTCTCTGTAATGAACATCAGAAACTGAGTGCTGCACTTGCAAACTGCAGGAGCAAATACATGTGGGCAGGTCACGCATCTGAGTAGATGCAGCTGAACTGTGTGTCTCACCTTAGAGAGCTGTTCCTCTTATGCTCCTACCATGTCAGTTAGAATTCAGAGAGCCCCCTACATTTTCCTGCGCTATGTTAGGAAACAAAGGAATGAAAAGGTACTGTGCCTACCTTCCATCATCTTACAGATGAGGTGAAAAAAAAAAAAAAACAGACTTGCTCATAGAGCAAGGTCAGTTAAGAAATTAGGATGTCATTAGGCTCTGTGTGTAAGGACCATCTCGTTACAACATAGCAGGTTGGTGGTGGGCAGGAAAGGGTTCACAGAAGGTGCAGTACCGTGGGGGCTCCCACAGTGAATGAAGAATGTGGACTGGTGCAGCAGCCTGTGGGAAGACTAATGATAGGCATGAAATGATGAGGGTGTCCCTGGTGCAAGGGATATTTAATAAATTGCCCTGTCAGAGTTGAAGATTCGCTTTGGCGAGCAGTTGCAGATGAATTCTTTGAGATGGTGACAGCTTTTGCCAAGCCAGAGGACATGAACTTAATCTGAAAGAGCGAACCTGTGAAGCTGCAATGAACTAACACTCTAACAAAAATATTGTGATCTTGTCTGAGATATTCTTCTGCATATGAAGTCTTGTGGATTCAGCTTTTTCTCTCAGATAATTCTTCATACCATTAAGGGCTCTTTTTTTTTTTCAAAATACTTATACGTAAAAAACAATTTAAAAAGAAAATTAAAAAAAGCTAGAAAAGTTTGGGATCATGGAAAGTTGTGAGAAGTATGCTCTTTCATTGGTTTTCTTGTGTGTGTGTGTGGTAATGGAGAGTGACCTCCAAGGAGGCCAAAGGACAGCACTCTATGGCTTTCTCTATTGCTCTCTGACTTACTCTTTTTTTAATATTTTATGATGCATTTTAAAATTTTTTATGTGCATTGATGTGGGTTGCATATATGTCTGTATGAGGGTGTCAGATTCCCTGGAGCTGGAGTTACAGACAGCTTTGATCTGCCATGTGGGTGCTGGGAATTGAACCCAGTTAAAAACAGCCAGTGCTCTTAACTGCTGAGCCATCTCTCCAGCCCCAACTTATTTATTCCCTTGATACAGGGTCTCTCACTGAACCTTACTTACGATTTCAGCCAGTCTGGCTGGCCGGGAGCCCCAGGACTAGCCTGTCTCTTCCCCACAGCATTGGTATTACAGGCATGTGCAAACACTCCTGGCTTTGTTGCATGGGTTCTAGGGGAATGCAGATCTTCAGGTTTTCAAGCAAGTGTACTCACTCATCTCTCCAGCCCCTCAGAGGTCTGCTGTTCTTATCTATCACTTGATATTGAGGTTTATCCCTCATAATAATTGTATCAACGATGCTTTCTTTCAGTGACTTTACATTTTCTGGGTGTAAACGCCCTCCAATGTAGTATGACTAAACTATTTATCCCCAGGACCAGATTCTTTCATCCCCTCTAAATACTAACTACACAAATCAAGGTGTCTAGTGCCTGCTAGCCTACTGTATGTTACTCTTATTATATTTAGGGTTTTTAATGTTGTAAGCAGTTTTTATTCGCTGATCTCATGAAAACTTGAGGCAGTTTCTTCAAAAGAAAACAGTGACGCTGTTTAATTTAAAAAGCTATAAACATCACTTGCTGTGGGGTTCCAAACTGAGGGGAGGTCCGGGAGAGAAAGTCACTGCACTGGTGCTGTCTGTCCCACAGGTGGCGCCAGTGATCAAAGCCAGAATGATGGAGTATGGAACCACAATGGTCAGCTACCAACCCCTGGGAGACAAGGTCAACTTCTTCCGCATGGTCGTCTCAAACCCTGCAGCAACTCACCAAGACATCGACTTTCTCATTGAAGAAATCGAACGCCTGGGACAAGATCTGTAATCAGCTCGTTCACCAAACTGTTTCAATTCTTTAGCTAGACAGTTAAGTTGTCACAAACTGTGTAAATGTATTTGTAGTTTGTTCCAAAGTAAGCCTATTTCTATATTGTGGTGTCACAGTAGAGTACAGTTTAAAAAATTCAAAACAAGCAAACAAGAAACACTGCTCCTTTAAAAAAAAAAAATCCTTTCTTAAGTTTAGAATACCTCTCTAAATAGTGACAAAAGGCTATGTTCTAATCAGTGAGGGAAAGCATAAAGTTGTTATAAAACTTCCCTTTTAATGTGTATGCTAATCCAACTTTATTTTCGCTTCAGGACGGTAGTACTGAATAGTGCCAAATCACCCTTGAATCGTAACAGGTTCCCTGGGGTACAGTAAGAAGGACAAGTAAATATAAGATGTATGCTGACAACAGAAACTCTTGTCTTTTTCATAGTATTAGAAAAAAAAATTTCTAATTTACCTATAGCAACATTTCAAATGTATTTAATACATATAATTTTACAAAAAGAAAAATATATATTAAAAGAAATCCTATTTTTTAACATATAGATTTTATTTTATATGGGTTATACAAACTGCAGGGGAAGATATGAAATCTAAGCCAGATTTTTTTCTTTATTTTTTTCTCCCTATCTTTCTTTTCATGAGGCACAATGAAAACACATCAGCAAGGTAATTTTAACATAGTAACCCACAAAATTGTTTAAAAATGTAATAACTTATGTTAGTATATATTACTTCTTGTCATTTCCCTAAAAATAGTATTTCAAAACAAACACACACAAAAGAAATGAAACTTCTAAAAACAACTGATCAGCTCATCAATTGAGATTCTCTTCCTGATTAGGCTTTGCCCTTGTTGGCCCTAGAAGACCCACTTTAAAAACCTGGCAAGCCCAGAGTGGCCCCAAATCCGGGCAAGCGTGCCCATTCCGCTTTCCCGTGTAGCCTGCTGTAAACAGGAGGTTGATATTAGTTTTCCAAGTGTCTTTTTAAACCATATTTTTTTATTAGATTATTTGGATTAATTAGAAAAAAACTAAAAATAAAAGCTAATCAGCCCTAGCAAAGAATGTGCCACACATTCCTTAGGTTTGATGAGCTCAGAGTCCTAAACCCAGCCATGGGAGACCAAGCAGTAACGGCTTCATCTCAAATGCCGTTTTGCCGCTGTCTGGGGAAAGGGTCACGTGCATCCTAGATGCTCTCCTGTTACCATCCTTCTCTATCCCATACTTCAGAGTCTCTCCTGCTAGACTTCCTACCCCAGGATATCCCACGTGGCTCTTTTCCTTTCTTGTAATGAGTTCCTCATGCAAGCAGTTTTGGAGTAGTCTAAGAACTTCTTTTATCTGCCTCCCATCAAGCTTCACAATGACCAGAATATGTAGAGATTACTAAAATTCAAAATAACATTTTAAGAATAAGTTTCTTTCTCTGTAAACTGGATGGAGAGATTTCCTCAGCTCCCATGATAACTTCAGAGTCACAGATGAACAGATCTAAGTGCTGGTAGAACCTTTTACATGCAAATGGCAGATACAGGTCTGGAAACATGATCCTGCTTGATATGGACTGGTAATTCAAAGCTCAGAAAGACTACTGAAACAGGAGGAAAAAGGCCCTGCCCTTAACAATCACAGATCTTCATGACTTTGCCCCAGATCTTATGACCAGGCAGCATGCAAACATACTGAGCCTCAGTATAAATATGGCTTCAGCCCCTTGCTGTCTAGAACACCAATGGATTCTGTGAGCACCATATGGAAAATTACGGTTAACAAAGTTGCATGAAGGAATGGTCTCCCACTTTAGGTATTCTCTAATGGGCAAGCATGCCTTTCCTTTCTAGAAACTGGCTGCAGAGTAAGCGTGCAGCTAGCTGTCCATCCATCTTGAGCCTCAGGCCCAAAGATCTTACTTCCCAGGCAGAGACACTCATTTATCAATCCCACAATCCCACTTAAAGAAGGCAGTAGGGCCTACTGTTGTGATAGACAGAAAGCTTAGCCCTTGGGAAACAGTCTTGGTAGCAGAAGCAGGCTTCTAGTTTGATGAGGTGACAGAACTGAAAAAGAACCTGTGTCCATGTATGAGAATCTAGCAAAATACTTTTACTAGTGAATTGAATCTCCAAACCCCTTCTTCTCCAGATTCTTCCTCAAAACATCTGGGAGCCTTGCTCAAACATAAAAACCTCTTACCACTGTATCCTAGAGAATGAGGTAAATACAAGCCTAATAATAGCCCCAAGTGCTTTAATAGATACCGTAGCTCTGCCATCTACTCAAAAGAGGGAAAAAAGACGGGAAGAAAAAAGAATGGAGGGAGACTGTATTGACATTGGTCCAAATTCCTAGTGCCCAAGGTCTTTATCTGTGACCTTTTTATTTTTCTCATTTTAAAAACATTGGTTTCAGCTTTAATCAGAATTGATATGGCCATTTTATTTATACAGCAATATTTTATTTATTATTTAAAATACTTGAAGAAAAAGTACAGTATGTGTTTATTTGAGACTTTTAAATGGTATAGACATCATGTACTGTCACAGGATTTGAGAAAAAAATCATGTGTGTGTGTGTGTGTGTGTGTGTGTGTGTGTATTGCCCTTAGTACATTGCTGTACTTCCTGTCACCTCAGATTGGGGTTGCGTACTTTCTACTGACTTGTGTGGAGCTGCAAATCAACATGTGTTGCTGTGAAAGCTTGCACAATGTGTTATTAGTGTGTCTTCTCTGTGGTAGCTGTACTGAACTTTGAGATTATGAGAACTACATTTGCATTCGTTCCTGGTCTCACCCTCTCACCCTGTCCCAGGCTGTGTACCCTCTACATCAGCTCTTAGAGAGAACATAACCTCAGCTGAGCCCCACCCTGAGAAATCTCTTTGAGAACTGTGTGATCACATACAAACTGCAAAGGAAGCACTGCTTGGCCGCTGAGGCCAGAGAAACCAATTATAGAGTATCATAGCTGCTGACATGGAGGTATGAACTCGGGGGGACTCAGATTTGGGGCTACTCCTCAGAACATGGACAAAGGAAGTGCAGGTGTAAATATAGCAACAGGACAAAGAATCAAGACCATCAAACCAGGTATCATCTTGCACGTGCTTTTCTGTTCTTGAGTGCTAAATGCAAACACTGTGTATTAATTAGTTGCGTGTGACAAGATCTTGTTACCAACTGGTGTTTCTGAATAATGTCAACATTTTCCCAGCACCCCTCCATTATTAAACACAGAAAAAATAAAAATAAAATATACAAACGTGGCAACCTGTTTTCCCTACCAAATATAAACTTGTGTATGATCAAAATATTTTACCTGTGTTTTCTCCCTAAACCCAAATAAATGTGTAAATGTGGACATGTCGGGCTTTGCATGCTTACTTTGCCAGCTGTCAGGTAGTGGAGGAAATCTTTAATGGCTTTCTTGTCTTTGGGTCTTACTTCTGCTATCAGCCCTCTGCTGCTATGTTTGGAGGACACCACTGTGCAAACTCTGCTTCTTCTTCAAATGGAAATGATCAATTAAAAATATTTGATTGTGAAAAATTTCACCTAAGTAGAAAATGAGAAAAACAAAGTAACAAAGTCCCATGCAGCCTTCAACCTTTACTGCTGTAGAGCCTAAATCTTATTTAATCTATGTCTATACACTACTTTCTCCCCAAGACCAAATTATGCTCTTATGAATTCATGAATGTTAAAGACTCTTAAGTAGAAGGAACACATGATCCTGCCATTATTCTCTGTGTTTAGGAAGAATTTCCCACTCTTTTTTGATATAAGGGAATGTTGTCAATTATTAATATTTATTATTGATTTATCTTCTAGTTAAACAGTGGTTATTCCTAAACCAGCTGTATACCCAAATCACCACACAGACTAGGATTTATTTCATTAACCTAGAACACAATGCTGAGCAATAGTCCATCCCAAACCTCCAAGCCTGCATAGTTTCTTCCCATTCAGATTTCATCCTATACTTACTTTCAGTCACATCTTGGGTCCGGTTCCTCTCTCCTCATGGTTCCAAGTCCTGTCCTGCCGATCTCTGCCCTCCAACTCCTCCCACTCACTTCCTTCTCCCCTCTGGACCAGGATGTCCCACCCTATTCTCTCCATTGCACGGCACTGGCTGGCTGTTTTATTGAAAATACAGAGAACAAATGGCGGCATGTTTACACAGACTTGAGACAGGTGATGCTTAGAATAAACATCACTTGAAGATGCTGTCTTTTTTCCATTGAATGGTTTTGGCTTCTTTGTCAAAAATCAAGTATTCATAGGTGTGTGGGTTTATTTCTGGGTCTTCTATTTGGTTCCATTGATCCACCTTTCTGCTATTTCTCCAACCAAGGACCATGTGTGGATATAACCTAGAACTCCTGCTCGGATGTAGCTCATGGTAGCTCAGTATCCAAGTGGGTTACCTAGTAAGGGGAACAGGGACTGTTTCTGACATGAACTCAATGGCTGGCTCTTTGACCTCCCCCCCACACCCCAAGGGAAGGAACAGCCTTGCTAGGCCACAGAGGAGGACATTGCAGCCAGTCCTAAAGATACCTGATAAGCTAGGGTCAGATGGAAGGGAAGGAGGACCTCTCCTATCAGTGGACTTGGAAAGGGGCAGGGAGGAGATGAGGGAGGGAGGGTGGGATTGGGAGGAAATGAGAGAGGGGGCTACTGCTGGGATACAAAGTAAATAACCTGTGATAAATATAAAAAAAATAAAAATTATTAAAAAAAGAAACATCACAATGCAATGTCCGGATTGAAACCAGATAATGGGGCAGAGAAATCAGCATTTGAATAAACAAGGGTAAGTTGTATACATTCCACAAGCACATCATACCAACAAGGGAATGTGTTTCATGAGTAACAAGAATGTACGTTCTGCAGCTGGATTACCTGAGATCAGGCTACAACCCTATCACTGACCCTCTGGGATATCCGAAGCATATCATCAAGCCTCCTTTAACTTTGTTCCCCACTTTCACAACTTTCTTCATCAATTTTTTGTGTTGATTAAGTTGAATGTATATACGGCACTGAGCATAGCTCAGTGTTTGTGATAATTAATCTTCATCACCAGCTTGACTGGATTCACCCTGAGGTGTATCCATGAGAGTATTTTCATAGATGTTTAGCTAAAGAGGGAAGGTCCACCCTGAATATGGACAATATCATGCCATGAGTAGAGGCCTGGACTGAACAAAAAAACATAAAAAAAGTAAAAAGAGAGCTGAGCACCAACAATCACCTCTCTCTACCTCCTGCCAGCAAATTCGGGGCAGCCAGCCACCTCTCACTCCTGATGCCATGCTTTCCCTGCAATAGGACTGTATCCCTTCAAACCACGGACCGAGCACATCCTCCCTTCCTTAAACTGCATTTCTTGGTCACTCCGTCCCAGCAATGAGAAAAGTGACTAATACAGCATTCAGTAAGCTGTCCACAAATCTTGATTGTGTCATACCACTGTTAATTTTATCACCTCCATAAACACTCACACTCCACTGAGCCCCTTCTCTGCTGACTCTTGGTCAGTGCTGTTTAGTGGATACCCATCTGACAAGTTTACTCCAGAAATCATACTTACCATTGTCTTCTACTTACTAATGTAGATCCTCTAGCCATCTTACCATTGTCTTCTACTTACTAATGTAGATCCTCTAGCCATCCTATTAATTCTTCCTACTCATCCCCTAAATGCACAGAGCCCTGGCAAAATTCCCTACAGTGAGAAGTCACTCCATCCATACTTTGTGCACCTTTCCCTGGTGTGCCTGAGGTCCTTTACCTGAGAACTAAGGGAATGGATCCTAGGAAGATGGTGGCTGAGACATGGTTTAACAAATAAATTTAGACCTGTGTTCATTCGGCCTATACAGATAAGAGATCCCAGACCTTCTTCTTCTAACACACTTCTACTCTGTGCTCACTTGAAACCTCCCTCAAGTGCCGGTCAGGTTAAAGGCCCTCACACCTCACATCTCTGCCATCAGGGTGTCTGTATGGAATCACTCACCCCCTTTAGGTATGCTTCCCTCCCTTAATTCTGGAACCGTCATCTAAGGGCCTGCAGTGAGTGGCTCTCACTTCCTCCACAGTCTAGGATCCTAATGCCAGGCAGAGGAGGAGCTGCCCACTGCCTTGCTTACTGCAAGGGGTGCTCCCAAACATTCCTCCCTCAGAGACTCTAATGTCACCATCTGAGGACCTGTGCTGACTATCCAAATGTTCCACTGTAGCCTTCTACCTCCACTTTTCTCTGGCACTCTAACCTCCGTTTCTGAGGAACTGCCACGAGAGCCTATTTGTTCTCTGTAGTGTTTGCTTGTGAGGCCAGAGCTATTCCTTTGCTTAGCTGATTACAAATAACTCTGCTGCCCCACACACAAGTCAGAACTGAGTGGTCCTAAGACTGAACCTTAGGCATCAACTGATACAAAACTTGTCAAACCAGAATAATAGTAAACAGAGAAGCAATGCCCACTCCACTAAGGTGGGCCAGACCATACCAAAAGACATGACCAAAAACCTAACTTCAGACACCTGCCCAGCTCATCTCATGGAAACAATGTGAAAAACAAAGACAGTATGTCTCCTCCAGAAATCTGTAATTCTAAAGTAATGACCCCCAATGAAAGCAACTGAAATGACTCTTAAGACAATGAATTCAAAAGAACAATTACATACATTCAAAGAACTCAAAGAGAACATGAATAAGGGCCAGAAGGAAGATTAAGAAAACATATAAAACAAGGATGACAGTTCCATGTATGAAAATAAAATGTAATAAAGAGATGGAAATATTAAAGAAAACTCAAACCAAAATAAAACTTGAGATAAAAAGCTCAGTGAAAAACTCTACCAGTAGACAGGATGAAATGGAAAATGAATTATCAGGGCTTAAAAACAAGGTGGAGGAATTGAAACACTCAATCTAATAAAACAATAAATCAAGATCACACAAACAGAACATGTAGGCACTAGAAAAAACAAACCTACAAATATTATGGACATAGAAGAAGAAGAAACCCAGGTCAAAGGCAAAAACAAAACAAAAAACAAAACATTGACACTAAAGACATAGAAAATTCCCCAAATCTAAAGAAAGAGATGTCCATCCAATTACAAGAGGCACACTGCACACCAAATAGACAAAATCAGATGAGAAATTCTTTATGTTGTGTAATAGAACAGTAACTGAATGGGCAGAACAATGAAATATTGAAGACAACAGGGGAGAAAGATCAAGTTGTGTATATATAAAGAAGATCCAATTAGAATTACATTTTATTTTTCCAATGGAAACTTCAGAAGCCAGAAAGGCAGGAATGGTGGACTTCAAATTATGAAGAACCACAAATGCCAACCCAGATTACTATATCCAGCAAAACTATTTGTCATAATCAAAGTAGAAAGAAAAACATTCCTAGATAAAAGCAGCCTAAAGGATTTTACAATTACTAAGCCAAACCTATAGAAGATACTGGAAGAAATATTTCAGACTGAAGAGAAGGATAAACATATAGAAGAGACTACAGGGAAAATAAACAATGTTAATTCAAAGGTTAAACAAAGAGAGACCAAGAAAACAGACATCAGAAAATCAGCAGAAATGATGGGTATAAATATACATCTTTCCATAATAGCTTTGAATATCAATGGTCTTAACTCCTCAGTCAAAGGCACAGATTGTCAGTGTCCAGAAAACAGGATCCATCATTGTCTCCTTCCAAGAAACATTCTTCACCATTAAAGACAGACACTGCCTTTGGATAAAGGATGGACAAAGGTATCCAAAGCAAATGGAGTCAGAGAGCAAGTAAGGGTTGCTATTTTCATACTTGAAAAAGCAGTCTTCAAATCAAAACTACTCATAAGAAATAAAGAAGTTCACTTCCTACTGATCAAGAGAATAATTCATCAAGAGGACCTTAATTTCAACAGGCAAAGAATTTCTAAATAGGATTTCAGCAGTTCAGGAAATAAGGCCAACAAAAAATAAATTAGAATTCATGAAACTAAAAAGCTTATATACAGCAAAGAAAACCATCAATAAGGTGAAGAGGATGCCCACAGAATGGGATAAAAATCTTTACTAGCTGTACCTCCAACTGAAGATTAATATCAAGAATAAATAAAAAACTTTTAAAAACCTGAACATCAAGACAACGAGTAACACAAAAATGGGCCATACATCTGAATAGAATTCTCTAAAGAAAAATTACAACTGACCATTTTTACAAGTTTTCAACATCATTAGCCATCAGAAAACCATAAATTAAAATTACTTTGCAATTCTACTTTACCCCAATCACAGTGGCTATCACTGAGAAATCAAATGTCAGCAAATGCTGACAGGGCTATATGGG